AATCGGCGGCTGCTCGACTAGCCCGAACGCCCGAACGGCGTTGTCGGCCGTCGCTCGAGCCAACCCGATCGGATCCTCGTCGCGCAGCTCCGCGAGGTCGCGCAGCGTGTAGGGGACGCAGCTGGGCTCGTTCGGCCGCCCGCGGAACGGGTGCGGGGTGAGGAAGGGGGCGTCGGTCTCGGAGAGCAGCAGCGCCCGTGGCGCCGCGGCGGCCGCCCGTCGCAGCTCGCCGGCGTTGCGGAACGTCACCGTCCCCGAGAGCGACAGGTACCAGCCCTGTCCCGCGCAGCGCCGCGCCATCTCCTCGCCGCCGGAGAAGCAGTGGAACACCACGGTCTCCGGAGCGCCCTCGGCGTCGAGCACGTCGAGGATCGCGTCGTGGGCCTCGCGGTCGTGGATCACCAGCGGCAGGCCGACCCGCTTCGCGAGGTCGATGTGCCAGGCGAAGGCCTCGCGCTGGGTGTCCAGGTCGGCGCAGTCGTCACGGCGGGTCGTCCAGTAGTCGTCGAGGCCCGTCTCGCCGACCGCCACGACCCGCGGGAGCCCCGCCAGCTCCTCGATCTCGGCGCGCGCGGCGTCGTCGAGGTCGCGGCTGCGCGTCGGGTGCAGCCCGACCGCGGCGAACACGCGGGCGTCGGCGCCCGCCGCCCAGGCGGCCCAGCGGGCGGACGCGAGGTCGTCGGCGGTGGTGACCATCGCGGCCACGCCGGCCCCGGTCGCCCGGTCGAGCAGGCTCGCCAGCGTCGCGGGGTCCGTCGCCCCGCAGGCGTCGAGGTGGGTGTGCGCGTCGACGACGCCCACGTCCTCGATCGGCTCGGGGACGGGGGGCGGGTCGTGGCGGTCGGAGCGGGCCTTACCCACCGTTGATCGGGGCCCACTCCGGGCCCGTCTCGCCCAGAGCGGGGTCGAGCTTGGTGAACAGCGGGGTCGGGCGCGCCAGCGGCCTGCCGACCGGGATCGGGTGCGAGGCCCAGCGCGCCTGCTCGGCGGCGTAGTCGCCGGTCAGCACCGAGTGGCTGGTACCCATGC